CTACACCTTAAACCCCGAACCCTAAACCCTAAACCCTGTGCTGGGCGGTCTGCGGCAGCTGCACGAACTCGGCCAAGGCTTGGTTGGAGGAGAGCTGCCTTAACGGTTTTAGGGTGTAGGGTTTAGGGTTTAAGGATTTGGGGTTTAGGATTTAGGGTTTAGGGTTTAGGGTTGGGGTTTGGGGGTGTAGGGGTGTAGGGGTGTAGGGGTTTAGGGTTTAGCGGTTTAGGGTTTGGGGTTTAGGGTTTAGGGTTTAGGGTCTTTTGGCTTAAATGCAATGCAGGGTTTAGGGTTTAGGTTTTAGGGTGTAGGGATGTAGGCTTATGCTTAGGGGTTTTTAGGGGTTTAGGCATCTAGATCTAGGGTTGTGGGTTTCAAGAACTTACAATCGGGGGCCTTACTCATGAGAGTAGGGTTCCTGTAAAGGGTTTCTACCTTTCAAACGGTTCTACCACGTTTTCTATCAGGGTGTATAATAATAATAGTGGCCTTATTTGTTAGACTAGGGTTTAGGGCTACATTACACGAAATTTCTGCCAAGGAACCTGTAATCAACCATATGACGAAGTCTTATGGCCCCTGCATCAAAAGGCGAAGCACCAAGCTCCCTAAACCCTAAACCCTGAACCTAAACCCTAAAGCCTAAACCTAAACCCTAAACCCTAAGCCTAAGCCCTGAACCCTAAACCCAGAACCCGAAACCCTAAACCCTGCACCCTGCACCCTACTCGCTGCCGTGCTTAGGCTCAGACGCCTGGCGAAGCCCCATGAGGCTCTGTTGCTGGCTTTTCTCGTCCTGGAGGGGTTAGAGTTTAGGGTTTAGGGTTTAGGGTTTAGGGTTTAGGGTTTAGGGTTTAGGGTTTAGAGTTTAGAGTGTAGGCTTAGGGATTAGAATGTAGGGTTTAGGGACATTGCTACTACCATGAGCGGCTTAGGGTTTAGAGTCTTTAGGTCTAGCAATCACTGACAACCACACAAGTCGCTTGGGGTTTAGGGTTTAGGACTAGAAATAACTAGCGACCAGTGGCTGGGGGTTCAGGGTTCAGGGCTTACAACCGTAAGTGGCGCAAAGTCTGGCGACAAGCTGGGCATCAGACCAGAGGAAGTCTGGCGAGCACTTCCTGTTCGATGCCATCCTCATAGCTTGTCACAGAAATCGCAGGCCGTTGAAGAAGGAACCCCAAGCATATAGGGGCCTTAATAATTAGAGTAGGGTTTTGGGGTATATTATACTACACTTATAACAAGGAACCCCAAAAAAAGTATTGGTAATTATTAAGGTCTAAACCCTAAACCCTAAACCCTAAAGGAGCATCCAAGGGTTTCTCAGGGCTGAGCTGGCACGGAGAGCTCCTCCACGCCTAGCAGCTCCTTGCAGGGGTTCAGGCTTTAGGGTTTAGGGTTTGTGGTGTAGGTGCCTAGGGTTTAGGAGACAACAAGAGAGAGCACTTTTGATTCCTACCATCAACATCAACATCAGCAGCAGCTTCATCATCAGCATCCTCCCAGTCGTCATCACTAGAATGGGGTTTTGGGCTCCAGTATAGTATAGCGATAATAAGGAACCCTCAGAAAATCATGCTACTAATTATTTAGGCTTCTACAGTATTCCTAAACCCTAAACCCTAAACCCTAAACCCTAAATTCCAGTTTGGGATTTTTTTGGCTTCGAGTTCAGGCTTCATGTTGCGAGTTCGGGGCTTGTGGTTTGAGGTTCGGCTTGGGATTTGGGGCTGCAGGTTCAGGGAAACCCTTTGAGGGTTTAGGGTTTAGGGCTTAGGGTTCAGAGTTCAGGTTTTAGGGTTTAGGGTCTAGGGTTGAGGATTCAGGGTTTGGGGTACCCCAAACCTTGGCAGTTTTGAGGGCTCCTGGCACCGTGCCCGCAAGTCGCGCTCCAGGCAGCGGAGGGCGCGTTCAGCAGCCAACTGGGCGCAGCGAGCTCTACTGCAAGATGCGCTTCTCCTACTCTTTTCCCGAAGGTTAGGGGTTCCGCAGTAGGGCTATGATAGGATTCCTTTAAGGGTTCTATAATGAGGTTCTGTAACAGGGTTCCTTCAAGGGTGGGATCTTGACCGTTCGGCTTTGCTCCTTCAAAGCGCCTCCGCCTTTCCAGATGGTTGCGACTGAAACTCACCGAAAGCATGGGTTTAGGGTTTTGGGTTCTGAGCTTGGGGTTTGGGGTTTAGGGGATGGATCCCACATGTTCAACCAAATAATAAGAGTAATGAGCACAAACCGACTTGCTCCTGGGGCCCTGCGCTGGCTCCCAGCATCTTTGCATGGAGCCAAGTGGGGTTTAGGGTTTAGGGAGGTTTAGGGGTTTAGGGGTTTAGGGGTTTAGGGGTTTAGGGTTTAGGGTTTAGGGGTTTAGGGTTTAGGGTTTAGAGCCACACGCAGCAATTTGCAGGAGGCACTTTCCGAGGCAGGTGCAATACGCTCAGTTGCCCCGCGTCTTGCTGGTGCCAAGTCCTATCGGGTCTGCGTCTCAGCGATTCTTTACATACATACATACATACATACATACATGCATACATACATACATACATACATACATACATACATGGATGGCAGGGATCAAAGCTTCCTTGAGATCAAGTATCGATGTTCCAGGCCTCAATAGTTCGTCGCAACATCTCCGCCCTTTCCCCTGCGCTCATCGCTGCTGCAACCACGGCATCCGTCTGAACACCTTGAAGCTGCGCCCAGGTGTGGGGATCCGTTTTGAATCGGCTCCTTAACTAGATGTAGGGGTTCAGGCTCCCCATGGGTGAACACTGGCCTAAACCTAAACGGCTCGGCCGCACGAAGCTGCAGGTGTTTCTCAGCGTCGCGCGGATTGAGGACGTCTCGCATCGACAATTATTGCATAGTGTGAGCGTATGTTAACACGAGGGGCCACGGCGACTCGATAAAGAGTCCACCATCTGCCAGTCTCAGCTTTGCTGGACAGATTCGCGGGGGGACACCCCAACCTCCCGGCTCACAGCTGCCCCTAATTAAAGTGCAAGGCTCTCACATACAGACAGATCGGACTGACCTGTTGCGCAACTGCACCGGCCATCACGAAGACAACGTGGATGCTCCACATGCCCTGACATGCAAGTTGCCACAAAACGCATTTCCAGCAGGTCCCGTGCTGGAAGCTGGAAGAGGATGCGTAGTGAGTAGTAGAAGCAGCAATATGAGCAGGACGGGTATGATGATCATCACCACGACGACGGCGATGACGACGACGACCACAACGAACACGACGACCATGAGGACTACGAGTACGACGACCACGACGGATGATGACCGCAAGAACGACATTGAATGAGAATGGTGCCGAGAAGATGATGATGATGATGATGAGTGCCATCATCGCCGGCGTGACGGGACGGGAGGGCTTGGACTTCAAGAACCTGAACCCTAAATGTCCATGCCTTGTGCCAGCTCATCTCCAGGCACCATCCTCAAGCGCCAAGCTGCGTGGCATGTCGGGGCAACTCTCCCCGTGAGACGTCCACCTGCAGCCACAGCTGAGAGATTGGTTCTGGGTCTAGGGCTTAGGCTGGCGTGTCCCTGGAGGTTTCCCGGAGGCCTTGGTCAAGAAGAAGTTGTTGCAAGAGCTCCAAAGCAAAACAAATACCGAGGATTTTGCACTTGCGCAACAGAGCTGCAATTTCCGGAACATGTTGTCTTCGTGCGTACTTATGGCTTGGACGTACGCGCGCCCGCGCGCGTGCGCGCGCGCAGATGTTGCCGGCATCATTAGGACGACGAAAGCATGCAAAAACTCGAGGTTTTGTCTTGTGCGAGCGCGGAGTACCACTTGAAAACATGAGGAAACCCCGGTGCTCCATGGTGAATTTGCAACAGGGGAGCATATTCAATGGTATTTGCAGCATGTCGCACACCTCGATACAAACACAGAATCCCGATAGTCGCGGGTTTTTGTTGTGTTTCGGTTCGGAGTTCTGGGTTTCCTAGGTTGAGGACGGAAACAACGGAAACAAAGCATGCACAAACTCGGGGTTTGGTCTTGTGCAAGTACGGAGTAGTACTTCAGTACACACGAAAACCCTGTGTTTCATGCAATATTCACAGCAGGGAGGCAAGTTGGATGGTATTTGTAGCACTTCGTGCACCTCGATTAAATCGCCGAATCCTAACAGTTTTGGTATGTCCTGGCATCATCATCATCGTCATCATCACCGTCATCATCATCATCATCATCATCATCGTCATTATCATCGTCCTGAACACAGAATAGTTTTTCGGGGAAACCCCCAGGGAGAAACCTTTGGGGTTTAGGGTTCGGGTTTGGGGGTTGATGTGGGATACATCTAGGGCTTTAGAGTTTCCCAAACTGGAACAGCCCCAGGTGCTTGGAGGATCCCATCACGTCTGCCAGAAATGTCGCCTTGCCTTGGGGGATCCAGCCGCAGTCTTAAGATCTTTGGACACCTGCGGCATGTCGACGTCCTGCCGGCTTCGGAATATCGGAAGAGCATCATGGGTGGATGCAATCTCGCCTCGGTCGACTCGGCTGCAATCTTAGCCTCGCCAGAGACCGGCTCCATTTCGACATCCTGCCAATGGCTACAAAGAACAGTGAAACTGATACATGCACTCACTCACACTCCCATGCACCCTAAACCCTAAACCCTAAACCCTAAACCCTAAACCCTAAACCCTAAACCCTAAACCCGAGCCTGTGCAGTCAAAGGAGCCTCTGGGGCCGGATTGCTGAGTCTCTCCACCGCAGCCATTGCTCCCGAGACCTTCCTGGCCCTGTCTTGCGCAAGGACCTCGCCCAAGCACAAACAGAGCAAAACTCACTCCTGTCTGTGAATACATGTATACATCACTATTTCCATTTCTATATCTATATATATATATACACATATATATATATATATAGACACAAACATATACACATATGTGTATATATATATATATGTACACATATGCATACATATGTATGTGTATATGTATGTATATGTATATGTATATGAATACGTATATACACACGCAAAATATCGGCTCAGATCCTACAAAGCGCCTGATGGACCAAGAAGTTGCTCCTCTCAGCCTCAGTGGTGCCAATCGGATTCCAAACCCCACGCCCCGAACCCGCCGAAAAAAATGAAAGCTGAATCCCTAAACCCTGAATCCCTAAACTCTGCACCCTGAACCCCTAAACCCTAAACCCTAAACCCTAAACCCTAAACCCTAAACCCTAAACCGCTAAACCTTGGAACCTGAACCCTAAACCCTGAATCCCTAAACTCCGTAGCCTGAACCCCAAACCCCAAGCCTCACTCCGGGAGGAAGCTCAGGTGGCTGTGCGTCAGTGCGATGTGTTGGGCACTGTCCCTACAATCTATGTCAATGATCATACTCAAGGTTTAGTGGTTCAGAATTTAGGGTTTAGGCGATAAAACGGTATCTTACAGTATATGTTATGTACTTCTGCAGATTGTCTGCGTATATTAGATCACTCTATTATATAACTAAGATATCCAACTGCTACCTGAGGAACCTGTAGTTTGGGTACCGTCCCCAACTGTTATAGACTGGGGACGGTACCCAAACTACCAGGTTGCTCAGGGCCCTAAACCCTAAAACCTAAACCCTAAACCCTAAACCCTAAACCCTAAACCCTAAACCCTAAACCCCAACTACCAGGTTCCTCAGGGCCGGGCCTCGCGGGCTGCCAAGCTGGTGCTTGCCGCCTTCTCGTCAGCCTCTCGCGCCTCTGCAGGACTTCGTGCTAGGGGTTTGGGTTGAGGGTTTAAGGTTTAGGGTTTAGGGTTTAGGGGTAGGTAGATAGACAGACAGATGCAAATAGAGATGGAGATAGAGATAGAGATGGAGAGAGATATAGAGGTAGAGGTGGAGGTAGAGGTAGAGACAGAGATGCAGAGACAGATATGGACAAGCATATAGAGACAGATATGGATATGGATACAGATACAGAGATAGGTGTAGACATAAATGTAGATATAGATATAGATATAGATGTCGGTATAGACATAGATATAGATACAGATGCAGATATAGGTGTAGGTAGAGATATAGACATAGATATAGATATAGATATAGATATAGATATAGATATAGATATAGATATAGATATAGATACAGATACAGATATAGATATTGGTATGGATATAGATATGGATATAGATACAGATACAGATATAGATACAGATATAGCTATAGGCGTAGATATAGATATAGGTGTAGATATAGATACAGATATAGACAGATGCCGATGCGTCTGTAAATAGATACTTGGAGGTTCACGGGTAGTTATAAGTGAGAAGCCCCCTGTATGAGTTATCGCTATAGTTGTCCTACTTATAACTCGCTCATACCTACCCATGAGCCGCCAAGTGCGTAGATAAAGAGCCAGGCAGACAGGCAGAGAGACAGACAGACGGACATGTAGTTACCTAGGTCCCAGATGCCACATATATGTGTACCTTACAAAGACAAATATATATATATATATATACACAGACACTGTACGTATGTATGTGCGTATGGATGTATGTGTGTATGTATGTGTGTATGCATGCATGCATACACACACACATATATATATATATATATATATATGTGTGTGTGTGTGTGTTTACCTACATACACATGCTCGTATGCTATATGCGTGCGTGTGTGTGTGTGTGTCACGTAC